GGGCTGCGGGGGCCGCCGCGCCCCACCGAAAGCCGATGCTCACGCTGCGGCTGAGCCCACGCAGGGCTGGGTTTGTAAACAGCCCTTTTATTTGGATGAAGAAAGTAAAGCCATCCCCCGGCAGTGCAAGGAAGGGGTTTCATCACAGCGTGGCTCGGAGGAGGAGCGGCCTCGGAGACAACCAGGCCCCTCTGGGTCACCCGCAGCTCCGGCGGCGTTTTCCCACCGCCTCGCTGGCAAATTGGCACGGAATCAGGATTTGCTTTGGGGAAAACGGGGCGGGCGAGGCCACAGCTGAGCTAGGCCCGTGCACATCTGCATCCAGCTGCGGGGCAGGGCACGGCTCGGCTCCCCGGGGAGATCGTCACTGACTTCATCCCCCGCGGCCCCCCTCGCCACAGGGCCACGGGCCAGGAGAGCGGCGAGCGGGAGGAAAACGCCGCCTCCCTGCACGCCCCAAGCTTTTGGCACTGAGCACGTGTTTTAAACCATCTCCTCGGCTCTTTTGTCCTCCAAACCATTGCCCACGGAGACCAAGATGTAGGTTTACTCTACTTACCCCCTCGCCTGCCCGGATTTACGAGCCGCAGCCGGTCAAATGAGCTGGAAAGGATGAAGCCTGCTGCTGCGCTGCAATAAACCCATGAAATACTTTAAATAGGCTCCTGGTTGGTTTTACACGCTCATTGACACAAACCCATCAGCTAATCCATCCGCCTTTATTTGTGCTGGCAGCTCTCAGCAGCAGAGGAGAGATTGGTACCCGAGTACTTCGACCCCACTCTGGGCACGATCCCCAGCCCGCGGCAGGACTTTCTTCCCAGCACCGTGCCCGTGTACAAGCAGCCTGGGAAACCTCGCCTTTCCAAACCGGCATTTTCAGCCCAAAGGCTGTGCCAGCCCCGCGGTGCCTCCCGAGCTACTGGTGCGATGAGTTTCAAACCAGTGGCAGCTTCCCAGCACCAAGCGGCTGAACCCCAGCTACGGGGGTTTTGCAGCAAAATAGGAACCGAGCTGAAATGCAGCCGTGCGAGTGGGACATCCCGGGGGCCTGGAAAGCAGCAGTGAG